CATTCCTCTTCCACACAAGCCTGATAACAGCAAAACCACAAGGCTCGTTTCAGCTCCACAGTCAACGCAAACAACAGCCAGAGCTTGGATTGCAAGGCATCTTCCAAGTTTTAACAGAACCCACTCACCACAAATAACATTAGTAGCTGGCAATGTAATAAATGACTTTCTACTTCAACCAGGTAACAAACTGAGGTTGCACAAAGACATCTCCAGGGGTCCCTTTCAACCTCAACCATTCTGCGATTCCACACACAGAAACATCAGCTCCCTGTACGCTCAGAACTCCAGAGATTGAACTGTAATGAGCATTAGCTTTTTAATTACTGAGCTCTTATCTCCACTGTATATATTTAATGGCTAATCACGCACTGCTTTGCATCTCTGGAGGCCTAAACATGAAATGTAGGTTTCCCCCAGCACTCTGAGTGCTTACAAGACTTAGAAACAATTCCTACTTGCAATCTGCTTACACGAGCAGGGAAGTAAAGTGAAGCTGCCTTGCACAACTACACTTCCCCAGCTTTCTCTTCGTTTCCCAGTACTTTAACACATCCTTGAAGAAACAAAATGAGGTAGTTTCTTGGCAGTGCTTTTTTGTGTGCCTGTGGGTTCTTCTGTGCGTTTTAGTCCTGCTTTTTTTTTTTTTTCCCCCCTGATCTACTGAGAAAAGCATATTTTCAACAGAGCATTCCACAGCTTCTAGTACTATTATAATCCTTTACATTTGGAAGCTGCGCTCGGAGAAGAACCATCTCCAGAGATGCTCCTGATGCTCCTGTTATCCAGTAGCACTCGCATCATTTTGATTCCATCACTGAAGTTTCCTGCCAGAATGAAACAGCAGCTCCCTCCCAAACAATGCTGTTACTTTCAGGCTGTTTATTGAACTCTGATCCGATTTTGCCAATGCAGCGTTCATGTTTCCGGTCTCTGGAAAGCACTGTGCCTAATAAGAAAGTTTACAGGAAGAAAAAAAAAAAAACTTCAAAGCCACATGTTTGCAATTACGAAGCTGGGAATAGGAGGTTTTCTTTCCTTCCTACGCAGGACAGCAGGGAGCATTATAGAATAAATCAAGCTAAACTAGTCCTGAAAATTAAGCATGGTCCTCTAGAAACGGTCTGAACTCAGTTTTCCACATAAACAGCTCATCTGTTTATCAGAAGCAGCAGCAGCAAACAGACTGCATGTGCTTAGAGCAGGCGGGTGTGTGACACGGCACCAAGAGCAGGCATTGGAGATAACGCCGCTGCTCTCCACGGACTGACAGAAGTACACCTTCAGGACAGTAACACGTAGCTGCTTTAATGAGGAGGTGAGTTCATTTGATACGAGATTTTAAAGTATTCGTATAAGCAAAAAATCAGATAAAATGCCTGAAGTGTTACATAAGAACAACGCATATGTATTAAAAGGCCCAACCTCTTATCTTACTAAAACATCTGGAGGAGATTGCTACAGGACTCCATTTTATGGTTGCTATCAAATTCCTCCAGGGGTGCACAGCACAAGAGCAGTGTATCCACTGAATGCAGGCTGGTGCCAAGGCCTCAGCCACACCAACCTACGGCTGGACTGCATTTCCTACCTGCCTCCTAAGAAACAGGACAGTGAAGTTCCCCCTATCTGTCCCACCATAACTTACAAGCAGATCATTAAATTAGTTTAGAAACATTTATCACCAGCTAGCATCTGAAAGATTGAAATTAATGATTATTATAAATAAATGGCTTACTAGTGAAAATGTCCAAACAGCCTGACGTGCCTTAACCCATTTATGCATTTGTTTCTTAAGGAAAAGTTTCTCAACAGAAAGATTAGTTTTATTTTCACTGTCTGAATTGTTATTAGATGTCAACACAGCTAAATAATAAAATATATTTTGATTTAAAGCATCAGGCAAGGCAAACCACCTAAGAATTCACGTTAAGATCTTATTTCAACTCAGACAGCTAACAGAACAGTCAGCACCTTTTCTCAGCTGGCATCTCAGAGGAAACCAAAAGAAACATTTTCAAAGGATTTGGTAGGTTTATAACAAAACACAGTAATCAAGCCCCTCAGTGGCACCCAGCTACCCAGAATTCAACTCCGTTTTTTCTTCTAATAGCCTGCAGTCACACAAGACCAGAGGACACTTTGTCACCACACCAAGGCCTTCCCAAGTCTATAAGCACTGCGGTATATCTTTAGATTTAGAGAGGAGGAAAAGGGGTTGCACCCATGAGCTAAGAATAAACAGCAGCTCAGAAACACAGGAAAAAACTGAGTGCTACCAGGCCTGGCGAAACTGAAAGCAGAACCATGTCCCTCTGACATCCTGGGTTTCTCAATATCCAGCTACCAGGAAGCAAAAGTGTGGAATGCAGTCAGGTATATTTGATTCATAAGAACACGAACAACTCCTTACGAGCAAAGGCTTACACTTCTACTTGACACAGCAGATTGATCAACTTCCAGAAGTTTCACAGCGTTCCACAACAGGTTACATGTTCACTACTACAAAGGTCTTTGTTATTTTATATGGACTTCGTACGGATTTTAGAGTGAAATCAGTGCCAGATCATCTTCCCTATTCTTTTTTGGAAAAATAATAACACCCCTTTTTCTAGAGTTTTGCTGCATTTCTTACACCCTGCCCCACTTTCTCCAGTCATTCTATCATTTACCAGAACACTATTGCTGACAGTGAAAAAAAAGAAAAAGCAAAAAAGCCAGGCATCTCTCAATACTCATGAGAGACCATGAACTCACTAAACTTCAATTCCCACTATTTCTGCTTCTGCTGAATCAGTTTGTGTGCATGCCAGGGCATACGAACTCAGGTTTTCATTTTTACCATCAGGAAAAGGGTAAAGGTGCACATAGTTTGGTTACAGCTCTGGGAGAACAGAAAAGCTGTGATGCAACCTGTTTACATCATCCTCACATTTTCCCTGCCCACGGGGGTAAGAGGAAGGAAAGATGAGGAAAGAAACTGAATAAAAGGGAACTCTGCTCTGTGCCTTAACTCGTGGGTACTGTTCTCACGTTTTTACTTTTTTTCTTCCCCACTTCAGTTCAAAACAGTCTTTAATCCCTCAGCTTCACCACTGCAGCTGTGCTGAGAGCTGAGGGCAAAGGACAGCCGAAGCTGCCCAACGTTCACACAGCACCTGCCTCTCAAAGGCTACACACCACTCGAAGGCACATCTCTTATCGCTTTATTCCCCACATGCCCCGAATTCCACCTTCCTCCAGCTCCTCCCGGCCAAGGACACGCTCAGCACTGACTGAAAAGCCGCTTCTAAGCCCCCAAGGAGGGAAAGAGGAACGCTAACAGCTCAGCTGCCACGGCCTTCAGTCTCGCCGCACTTTGTTTTCTTCACTACGGTGAGGGACGTCGAATGCTAGGCAACACCGGGAGGCCTGAATCACCTCGGGAAGCCCACGTTGCTTCTCCCGCACGACACGCGCACACGGGACAGCCGGCGCCCACACCGCGACCCACGCGACACCGCCCACCCTAACCGCACGCGGCGCCCCCCGCGCAGGGCGCATGCGCGCTGCCCACCCGTCGCCCACCGCCGGGCAACGGCCGGAGCCCCGCGCACGCGCGCTGCGCTCAACCGGAACCATCGCCGCCGCTGCCGCCTCCCCGGCGCTCCCCCGGCCGCCCCCCGCGCCAGCTGCTCACCATGTACCAGGTTCCTAAAATGATGGTGCCGGTCCGCACATGGCAGCAACCACAACAACGAGTACTGTAAAAACGGTCGCGGCTCCGCTTGAACGTCATGCTGGCAGCTGCTCCGCCGCGCTCGCTCCACCAGACGCCCTCCTCCGAACTCGCCGCTCGCTCTCTCCCAGCACTTCCCCTCAGCTGAGGGCCGTAAAACCCCCGCTCGCGCGTCACCGCCTCTCCGGCCAATCGCGTGTCGACAGCGGGGGCGCTGAGGGGTGTGCCCGCGGGAGGGCCTACGCGTCGCCGCGGCAACAGCGGATTGGCGGCGCCGCGGACCAATCGCAGTGCCCCGAGTGCAACGCCCTGCCGTTCACCTGCGCGGCGGCGGGGTGGAGCTCACCTGAGGCGACGCGCGGTAGGGGCTGTCCGACGTCCGCCATATTGGGGAGGAGCCGCCCTCCCCCACTCACCTCGGCCCGGAGGCAGCCTGGGATGGCGGCGGGCGTCGTGTTGTGCGGGGCTGGTGCCTGGGCTGCTTCCTCCTGAGGACCAGTGGGGGCGGCCGTAAAACATTACGAAACCAATTTTGCAGACAGCCCTTTGTTACAGCCCTTTGAAAGGACAGCGAAGTCACTTCAGTGGACCTCGGAGCACCCAAATCCCACAGATTCCACTGAAATTCAGTTAGTACTTTGCGATTCGCTTAAACCTTTGGCTGTTCTTCCAGAGAGAATTCTCGTTATTAATGTCGTGCGTTACATGGTGAGAGGATGCGCGAGCAAAGTGCGAACAGAAGAGGTTCACACATGCTTAAATTCTGTATGAGTTCCACGTCCTGTGTGGTGACAACACTGCTAGTCCCACTGAAAGCTGCAGGTGCTATTAAGCATTGATTAGAAGTAATGTATATAGATCCTGAGTGCTGCTTTTGTATGTGTGAGAGATAAGGAGTGCTCCTGTTCCCGTAAGAGGAGCACCCGTAACCTTCCCCCGACCCGAGCACAGCCCTGCGTTTGCAGACCTGCTGTGTTGATACAGAAACGTGCGTGGTTTATTTTAACCTTACTGCAGCTGCAAGTGTTTCCTTCTTGGCTGTATACAACTGTTTGGAGACACTCATAGAACTTAAATATTTGCTGTGTGTATATACACCGAGAGGTACCTTATCTGTCAGTATGGTGGTTCGCTCTGAACAATGAGAAGTTAACAAGGGTGACTAGTTCTCCCGCTGATGCATTCCAGATCCTACAATTAACACATTTTATTGTTTGAGCTACTTAGTCTATTTTTAAACATGAACTGTTGCTGAGTTGTTTGAAATGATTTACTTAAAGGCTTTAAAACTGACCTTTTTTATTTTAAATCCCTCATGTTCCATAATCGACGTTTTTCTTCCTTAGGGCATATTTCATTTTTGAATAAACATGTTGTAAGTGCTGCTAAGACTGCTGTAATGATCCTGTTATAAACTATTGTTTGTTTCTTCAGTGCTCCTAATGTTCCCTGTTCACAGATGCTTAATTATCAACAGACTAATTCAATGTAACTAAACCGGACTGATTTTAATCAATATAAATGTAAGTATGTAAATAAATATTAAAAGAATGTGCATTTTTTTGAATCAGTCACCTAAAATATCTGTTTTCTCACAGATGGCATGTTGGGAAGCCTGAGCCAACTGTTTCTGCAGCATTCACAACTGAACTGATTCCATCGTTCCTTGCCGAGCAAAGAGGCTCTCCCTCCTGTAGGTCTCTCCATGTGCAAGAGAGGAATTGAGAGGACCAGAGTGGGTCAGAAGAGTTTCTTGCTTGAGTTAGGTCATCCACTTAGAAGCACCTAGATCCCACTCACAATTTAAAGAAATGTGGTTTGTGAGGGCAAGTTCTTGAATGAAGATCTTCCACAGCTGGAAACTTTGCTTTTGCTAGTCTTGCTGGCAGCTCTCATGTCAGGCTCAGATCTTCAGAGCTATTTTCATGAGATGAAAGAAATCTTAATTAAGTGTTCGTATCTTTGTTAGCCAGACTCGGAATGAGAACTGATGCATTTCCCATGAGCTTCACTGCTTGTTATACCCTGCAGACAACAAAGATACTGAGAAGAATAATGTGAATGTCATTTAACATCACAAAGCGGTTTTCTACAACTGGATAGGTTGATGTGGAACTATTGAGTGGGGAAAAAAAAAATATCTCTCTACTGTCTCTTTCCCTCATTAAAAAAAAAAAAAAAGAAAGAAAGAAAGAAAGAAAGAAAGAGAGAGAGAGAAAAGGAAAAAAAAGAAATAAAAGAGCATTTAGAGAATGATTGCAGTGTTTCCTGTAAAATGGAGAAGAGAGCACAGTTCAATAACTTCAGCCCTACTCCCTGCGAAAGATACCAGTTCCTCCATGCCACTGGCACACCTCAGGGAAGACACTTCCTTCTCTTTAAGCATTAATTCTCCTCTTTTGCTACTTCAGAGAAGATTTGTGAGGCTAAATATAGTAATAATTCTGAAGGACTCAACTCAGCTTGCAGTCATGACAGCCAGAGCAAACTACCAAGAGAGATAGAATGAACTGTTCTTCCCAAATAGCAAAAAGACCTTGGCAGTCTGGGAGCAGATCGTCCACTTCTTACAACAGTAAGAGTAGAAGGTCCTAGACATACCAACTAGTGATAAGCAGCTGCAAAAGGATTCCAGATCCCTTACAAGCACAGCGCTTAACTCTTCCATCCATACATGCTGAGAGGGAAGGAGTTTTGAGATGGTGGTGTTCCTTATTACCCAGGCTGGTGAAGTGTTTCAAAATCTACGTCTAGACAGAAAATTTTAATTCTGTCTTGAGAGTGCATGTCAGTGTTTTACCAAACATAAAGTATTATTTTTGAATTATCATATTCATATAGTTCTGTTTGAATATAATCATACTCAAAAATAACGTAATAGCAGAATAGCTAGGCTCATGTAAATAAGATAGATACCAGGTTGCATTCTCCTTCCTGCTCCTCCATGATTCATTTTCTTAAAAAAAACAAGAGTCCAATGCCTGTAAGACGCCAAACAGTACAGCATGAAGGCTGTTCTATGCAGATTTTTGAGATTCCATTTTGTTCCATCTTTTGTTCCATTCTCAATCTATCTGTGGCTAAAATATGTATGGAGTTATACTGTAGCCATTAATTCTTGACTGCGTGCACTGAGTTATTATTAGGTTGCATATGAAAAATGAGGTGCTGTTCTCCTTCAGCATTTTCTGTGCATGTTTGAATAAGGGAAAAGCTGCACACCGTGGCCTGATAATCTTGTGTAGTCCATGAGCATGGTTCATACTGCTTTATAATGAAAACGCTGTGCTGTTTGGGGCTGGGGAAACTGAGGAACAGTGAGATCAAGTGATGTCACCAATACCACAAAGGCTGGTGAAAGTGATAGGAGCAATTCTCCTGTCCTGTGGATGTGAAAATACCTGGGCTGAGAGCACGGATTGGATTGATGGTAAGAGGGGATTGGAGTAAAAGCAAAGCGTTAACATGAGGAAACAAACAAACAAACAAAAAAAAACCCACTAAAATATGCTAGGTGGGAGAAAAGCTTTCCTGTTCGTGACTCACAGTGCAGTCCTTGATATGCTGAACTACCAAATCTGACCACCCTTCTTCTCCAAAATGGATCCTGCTAGAAGAAAACAGATGAATCCAAGCATTCAGTGATTTCTTGTGTAAGAGAGAAGAATGTATCACAATGAGTTTTGTGGTTAGTGGATTTTACTTTATTGAATTAAACAACATCAATTTGGATCTCTAAAGTAATGTTCCAATCATCTCTCCTTTTTGTTTCAGTTGATTGCTGTTAACAATATGAATTATCTGTTACTACAGTTACATTCCAAACCTTTTAACTTGTAACAGATGGTTCAGAAAGTCAGGGCTAGAAAAGCAGCTAAAATATGACACCATGATGTAACACTTTTGTTAACACAAGACTGTTTCTGGGTTACTTGTACTCATGCTTTCTTAATATCAATAACTGAAAAAAAGTTCCCCTATTCATTTGCGGAATCAAAGTTTGCTAACCCAGAAAAGCTATAGTTCATTTAAATCAGCCTTCATACAGCTGAGGAGAAATAAAAATGTCTGAAAATAACCTACAGCATTTTCCTCAATCTAGGCTGATACTTGCAAGTTCAGATATCTCAGTGGTTTCACATGTCAAGAAATGAGCACTGGCTCCCTCTGCAAATGAGGCACATCCTTTACCTACTAGCAGTCCCCTTCTCCCAGCCCTGAGCCCAGCCGTGCCTCTCTCTGAGTGCTGGAAGTACGGAGAGGTGCCTAGAAATCTGAATGCTGTCTGCTCACGGAAGGAGGAAGCTTTACCTGGTGATTTGTTGTTTTTTTAACATTGCCTCTCTGAATTGATTTGCAGTTTGGGACTCTGGGAAAGAGTTCCTGAAGGAGTAGCGTGGCAGGCAGCTAATGCACTCAGAAGTGCCCGATGAAGCTCTTTGTGTCTCTGTGGCTTACAGTGCCAAAGGACAGTAGTGCACATGTGCAGAAATCAAAGTTTGACGTAAGTTCATGAAGTTTCTAGTAGCTTTTTAGTGGGACAATCCAAGGGTCAGTTACTGTCACAGCGACATTTTCCTGAGGAGACACATTTATTTCGGAGCACAATTGCACTGCAGTGACCTTCAGCAGGGGAGGACGCTTCCAACACAGATAGGAACATCTGCAGAGCAGAACGTCAGGAGTGGCACATGCTGAAAAGTTCTATTTACCTTGAAAAGACCTCTGAGTCCAAGTCTGAGTGTGATAGTCTGAGTACTACCACAGAAGGACAAGACTTCCCATATCTGATCTTTGTATACCGTAACTTAAAAAGGCCCCTCTCCTCACAAAGAGTTTTTTTGGTATTATACAGCAGGCTTTTGTTGTTAGCATAGCAAATAAATTATTTTCTGCCAAGGAATTAGCATGTCTACCTGATACTCAGCTCATGCAGATGTGTCAGCTGTGCTTCTGATATGCAGATTGGGTGGTGGGTGGAACCTTGATAATTATAGATAACTACAGTTATCAATTACAGACAATTATGGCACAGCGGTTGCCCCACTTAACCCTGACAGTGTTACGCCATGGTTTGAGTGTAAAGCAGAGCTTTAGAATCTGTGTCTGCAGCCTGCCTGCGAGTAAACACAGCTTTGTAGGTCAGAAGTTCATCACATCAACCACAGCTTCATGCTTGAGATACCGTCTCATGGCCTCATCATTAGGGATATAGCCAACCTCTCATCTTCAAAAGGCTTCCCACAAGAAAGAGTATCATTGCAAAAATAGAGCAGACCGAGTTTAAGGGAAAGTTGAAACTTAAAGCAGCGTGTTTCATCATTTGCAGCTGCTGCCATAACAGTTAACTGTATGCTCCTAACCAGACTGTAGATGTTCTCCCTGCCACACATCACCACTTCCCACGCTGCGGCTGCCCCAGAGGCCACATTCCTGGTTGCTGGGCCACCTGCAGGTGCAGGGAGAACACCTGGCTGTTAGTGCAGCTTGTGCCACTCAAGCAACAGATAAATCACTCAGGGAGCAGGCAAAGGGAGCCAGCTGGTTCTGGCCTGTGACCCAGGGTACCATTGTAGTCCAACCAGCAATTAGACTACACTAGGTTAATGAAGGACCAAAGAGGCTACTCTAGATTTACATCTCTAGGAGAGAGGTTATCTGGAGGATATAAAAACATGCAGCTACAGTACAACCAATGCTAGAACTTGTTAGAGGGATGTTTAAGACCAGACAGAGCCTACAAGGAGGAGAGTATCAGCCTCATTTGTCTAATGCCCCAAGAGCCAGAAGCAGCATAGCAGGCAGATGATTTGAGCAGGGTGATAATGCTCACAGGAGAGAAGGCAAGAGCTATCTAAAAGCATAAAAAAACCAGCAGTAGCCTGAGCGCACAGTGATGAAAGGAAAGGGAATTTTGTAAGGGACTCTGAGATCTGCTTTTCAAAGGCGCTGGCCATCTGCAAAGGCCATTTGTTACACTGAGTGATGGTTTCACAGCCCTTGAGGATGAGGAAGTGAAAGAATGGAAGTTAGCAGCAGCTGCTGAGAGTGTTTTGTGCTTTGTTTTGTTTAAAATTTGGCCTTCTTACTGAGGAACCAGGCTCTCAGCACACTTTCTTCAAAACTCTGGGCCAGCCCTGGAAACCCCTGAAGCAGCAGTGCTGGAGGTTGTGGCACAGAAATGGTGCAGCCACATTAACCCAACATAGTACTTCCTACTACTTGCAGCAATCATACTGATACAGCAGATGGATTGCAAAAACAGTCTGTTCCAACTAAATTTATCCAGAATTCAACTGTGCAAGTATTTAGGAAAGCTTATCATCAACTGTAGCTAGTTGTGTTTTCTTTGCTGTGCCACTGTCTATGTTAGAATTAAATAATGTAGTATTAAATAATGTTCTGATAGAAACTACTGAGCGCTTCTTTATTACAGCAGTGGTTTCCCATCTGTGAAACAGTGGAGCCAGAAGAAAAATAGAGTTCTGCCAATACCTCTGCTGTCAGTAAGAGCAGTACCAATGAAAAACAAGGCAATATAACTTGCTGCTTCTTGCCATCAGAATCGCAGTCATCTCATCAGCATTACGGGGCTTGACTGTTCTTTTATTCCATCAAGAGAAGAAAGTTATATTCCTAAACATTAACAGGGTTAAGATGAAGTGTATCTTTTAAGAAACATTTACTATACCTCCTTAGAAGCTTGAAAATGAAATTCTTTTAGCAAAAGAGCACTTGCTCTTACACACACACACTAATTAAGTAGAATTGCCCACGAGCGCTGTGGCCTTTGAGTAAAAGTTTTGATTTTTTCTATTATAAAAACAACGAACATGAGAAATACTTGAAATACTACAGCATGTTGAAAAGAAAACACAGTTACAGTGGTATCAAAGAGAAAAAAGAAAAAAAAAAAGAAGTCTGGAATCTACCAATATTGTAAGTGTCTGTCTTTTTTTCTTTCGGATGACACAGTTATCCTCAATGCTATGCAGAGACCTTGGGCAACATCCTGGCTTCACTTAGGTCAACGAATGTTTTCCATTGGCTTCAGAGTTAGAATTTCACTCATTATCTACACACTCATTAACACATCTTCTAAATCCTTGAACTTGCTATTCTTGTTCCTCTGGTGAGGCCGTGCATTTTCTTGTTCCAATACACTTTCTTTCAACATAAAAGCCACTTGGTCTCTTCATGCATAAATTGCCTGTATTTCCCCTGCACTAGCACACAAACATCAAGATGGGTAGAGTTTAGGCAGTGAGCTGCTAAATGGCATCAGCTAAGATGATCCCTCACCTGTCTGAAACAATCCCATACTGTGGAACTTCAGGTCACACTGAACAGCTGGCTGCCCCCCAGACAGCCGCAGCAGAAGAGAACTGTCCTTCTGCTTGTACTAGCTGAATTCAAAACACAAACACTGCTGTGATTAATTGCTTCTTGAAGGAAACAGCTGCTTTGATATCTAAGCAATGGATAAAGACTATGGGGTAAAAATTTGGAGCTGTGGGTAAAGCTCAAGCAAGCCAGCATCAGGGACAGGATGGCTGAGATGGCAGAAGCAGAGAGCTCTCTGGTTCAGCAGGCAACCAGGAGTGCTGCTGCAGTTTAAAGTCATTAACATCATACGATTGTCCCATATTGAGATAGTAAGCTGAAGAATACAAGATGTAAGGGGTCCATAACATCACCTGGTTATGCTAACTCAAAAGAGGTCGCAAATAGCATCGCTTAGTTTAACCTTTTGCTAACTCAAGAAAAACTTATTGCTTAGTCTAACCGTTTGTCAGCCCAGGCATATTCTAAAAAGGGAGCCCTCTCCAGACAGTGGAAGAGGGGCCCCTAAGAGAGCAACGAAAAAAGGGAAGATAAGCAGAATAGGAAATTGCTGAGACATGCAGGGCAAGAGAAGAGCCCAGAACTGGGACAAAGGTCGGAAGGACGTGGTGAGGTAGACAACTGACTTCATCCCAAACGACCACCAACCACCAAATGGGGAGGAAGACGAGCCTTCATCCAATGGAAGCTACAGTGCATGTCCTGGGGAGAGGGGACAGTATGTAAATGAATTCCCGGAAAAGTAATGAATATGTCAATGAGTTTTGGGTAATACTACTGAATATGGACGGCTTGGCTAATGAATGTATCGAGACCTCACTCTCTGGTGTGCAAGCTAGGAGGAGCGATCCTCCTTGCACCCAGCGTGTGGCACAACGCTGAAATAAAGATGTATCTGCTCTTTTAACCTTACGTGGGTTAGAGAGTTTGATTCCACAAATCAATATGAAATGAGCATCATCAGCCCAGTGCCTATGAATAAGTGAATTTTGAATTAGTTTAACATGCATTACTATCTGTTACCTTCCCACACAGTCTCCGAAGCGCAGAATAGAATGCTGAAGGAGATTTCGCAGTCATCGAGGCAACACTTCTAAGATGGGTCATGCTGAGGCCCAGTCTTGGGACAGTCTGGCAGCTACTGCCAAAGCTGCAGCTCCTCTAGAGATGAAGGGCTTCAGCTTTCAGTGGTGTCAGCTTGCAATGACTTATAAATCACTGTACTCGCTTTTAGGATGCTCCTTCCTCCATACTATAAACCAG